GAGTACGTGGCTCCTCAGCCTTTGCTCAAACTCCCCACCTCTCTAATATGTGCCCCATTTTGCAAATGGGATCAAAGAACTCAGGGTAAAAAGTTTTTGGCTAGGCTTGTGTGTTATGCTCCAGGTATTAATAGCCTACTTGGCTTTCAGTTATAATTTGGCTAGATACATGGAAAGAAATAAGAATTCGGCAGTATATTTTGCATTTCATGAAGGCCATGAGACTCCAGACTTACTGTTTAAACTAAAGTTCATTATGTTTAATAGAATTTGAATTAATGGAATGCCCTGCGCAGTCTTGTCTAGAGGCTGACCATTTGAAAGGAAATACAGATTTAAAAGCTTTAATAAAAATATTTTGGAAGAAGCACTTTGCAGACTGGGATGAGTAAAACACCTGCAATAAAATGTATTGTGCAGATAACAGACCATCACCTTTTTCCTCATTCTGCTGCTCTTTAATGACTTCCACACTCCTTGACCAGATATCTGTTTGAGCACCAAAGAAATTGCCTTTCCAGCACAGTACATAGGGAATTAACTGCAAAGGCCCCATTAATATGAGTTACTAACTGTGCTAAAATTTAGCCCCAACATTCATAGGCACCGACTCCGTGGGCTGGAGCACCCACGAAAAAAATTAGCCAGTTCCTCCCTCCCCTCAGTGCCTCCCGCCCACTGGCAGCCCTACCGATTAACTTCTTCCCCTCCCCACAACATCTCCTGCCTGCCGGCAGCTCCGCCAGTCTACTCCTCCCCCTCCTTCCCAGTGCCTCCTGCAAGCTGCTGTTCTGCAGTGTGCAGGAGGAGCGGGGACGGGGCACATTCGGGGGAGGGGGTGGAAAGAGGCAGAGGTTTGGGGGAAGGGGTGGACTGGGGGTGGGGCCTGTGCCCTGAGCAGGGGTTCAGCACCCCAGGGAAAGGAAAAAGCTGGCACCTATCTGTGCCAACATTACTTGCAAAATAATAGGTGACGGGGAGAAAGACCCAGGCGATGACTGAAAGCACAGACACTGACAGCCCGGGGAGGCTATAAATACAAACTTCTTACAAATAAATTTTAAGGCCAAAAAGAACTGTTATGATCATCTAGTCTGACCTCCTACATAGCATAGGCTGTAGCTCATCCAGTAAACTCTGCATCAAGCCCATAACCTCTGGCGGAGCTACAGCATATTTTCTAGAAAGACATCTCCAATCTTGATTTAAAGATTCCAAGTGATGGAGAACCCACCCCATCCCCGGGTAGGCCATTAGTATTAGCTCTGCTTTAGGTATCTGGAATGCGAGTGTGTCTACACTGCAATAAAAGACCCACAGCTACAAGTCTCAGAGCCTGGGTCAGCAGACTTAGGCTTATGGGGCTTGCGCTTTGAGCTAAAAACAGCAGTGTAGAAGTTTGGGTTTGGGCTGGAGCCTGGGCTCTGTAACCCAATGACAGGGGAGGGTCTCAGAGCCCAGGCTCCAGTCCAATCATCTGCACTTCTATTTTTAGCCCCGGAGCACAAGTCCGAGTCAGTTGACTCCAGCTCTGAGACTTGCTGTGGTTTTTTTTTTTTTAATTGCAGCACAGACATACACTGTGATACAAGTGCACCCACCTGCATGCTGCTTTCCCCTCATTACTGGGCCTGTCTACTCTGTGCACCATATGTAGGGTCCTGAAGAGGTGAAAGGAGTCTGAGCAAGGCCTGGAAGATCAATCGCTGTGCCGTGCTCTGACAGGGCATTGCAACATTTGCTCTATGACGTTGCATTGTTACATACTGAAGCAAAGTAAAGGGGCTAAGTGATTTGAGGAGATGACATAGGTTGCTCTATAGATAACACTGGACAAGAGTTCCTCCTCTCCTTCCCCCTGGGTGATGGATCTGTGAAATAGCTCTCAACTCTCGCCCCTTCTGCCTTGCCCACTGCTAGTCTCTTGGACATGAGGAGTGATTCACATATCGGTATGTCTACACAACAAGCTGAAGGTGCGACTCCCAGCTCAGTGAGACATACCCACGCTAATTCTGACTGAGCTAGCATGCTAAAAATAGAAGTGTAGCTGCAGTAGTTTAAGGAGCTAGCTTCCCTGACTACGATCCCTTCTGAGACCCAAGGCATGTTTGGATGACTAGCCCCTCCTGCTGCTCACACCATCGCGGCTTATACTCTACTTTTAGTATGCTAGCTCTATCAGCGCGAGCGTGGGTACATCTCCTCAAGCTGGGAATCACGCCTCTAACTTGAGTGTAGACACACCCTATTGTGTGTTCATTCCCACCAGCACATACTGAACCTCTACCTTTCAAATGCCCTATTTTTCAGATTACCATTCTCCAGGTGTAATATCAAATAAGGACAAGAGAATCACCAGCACTTAGGCAGGGAAGGGTCAATTACATCTCCCAGCACTCCAGAGGTGACTCATCCGGAAAAAGGGCAGGTGGTATTAACACTGCAGTCCCTCGGGGATTTCTGCTAGGGGACGTGGGCAGACTTAGCTTATGGCTGGGGTTTTCTGGGAATCCTTCTCATGGACACTGTTGAAGACTATATTGAGTCAGATCATCCAATGGCCATATTCCCTAGCCAGCATCTCCCATTTTTTGGTCCTTGCTGCCCTCCTAACTCCCTTGTCAAGGAAATTACATGTGCTTTGTGCTGCCACAACCTCCTCTGGATGGACTTTCTACCCTGAGGATCCTTTGCCAGAGTTCTCACCAGAATAAATCATTGTTACCCCTGGGTGAATTTGCCCTGAACTGCTATTATGAATCTGGCAATGCAGTGACAGCTGCTAATTCCACAACTCCTGCATCATCAAGGTTTGTATGAAACACTAGTTTTTGTGGACCTCTGAAATGGGATCTCATTTTAAGGACTTCTTTCTGACAGATAAATAGCTGAAACTAAACTGAAAATTAGGAACATGCTCAAGGCTGAAAATAATCAAAGAATGAAGTGGGGGAAAGAAAGAACTTGCAAAAATTATAGTTCATCATTATCATTTTAAAGTACTACTGTTGTAAAGCATACACATGTGAGAGGCTGAATCGCATTTGATCAGTCAATTAAACATTAAATAATTGCAGCCAATTATGCAAATATCACACAATTATTAATTTGTTGATCTTTTCTGAACAGCCTCAAATGTTCCTAATGTTAGACTATCTTATTTCTTAAATGATCAATTAGTGTAACCATAACTAAGTGATGAAGAATGGATAATTGCCTAGTTATGATGTACCATACCCTTTCTATGTTAATCTGCTACAATTAAACAAACAGCGCACATAGAAAAGAGATGCGCAGATGTTCTTTTACAGTCTATCAGCTCAGGGAATAGCACGGTTCCTTCCTAAACTTTATGGGCTAAAATAAGGAGAACACAGTATCGATCAAGTGCTCACTGTTATTTACAAATGTTATTTCTTGGAATTTTATGATAAAAGGATAAAATAATACAGATGCAGAATGCAGGCTATGTATTTCCACATAGGATTGTCATGAAAGATCAAAATACTCTGCTGGTTTATTTTGTATATAATGTTTAAAACCTGGAACCTATTCACCCAGAGCCCGAATGAAAATAATCAAGGCTGTTTGAATTTACCAAGAGGGAGCAAAAGTATTCACAGAGGTGACACTAGCTGACTGGGAGTGCTCTACATGGTTTCACTTTTTCTCTAGGAAATAGCTCATATTTTTGTGGACCTTCCAATTTTATCCTCTGTTAGCCCTTGCACTTTTGAGGTCTCCAGCAGTACAAGAGATGAAGAGATAAGACAGGAGGTCTAACTCAGGTTTCCCCAAAAGTCAGTATAGACTACAACAACTACAGGCCAATGTCGAGCCCCACTTAAAATTATTGTAGTCTGATTTAAGACTTTAAGGCGTCAACCACTTAAAGCGTCAACCACTCTAAATCAATTATTATAACTGGTCTTCATTTTTTCATTCTGACTTGTGAGTAGATTACTGTCAGTACTGTCCATGGGGAATTCGATGTGCAACTTCTGTTAATACTACTGATATCTCAAGTACGGGAGTTGCACATCCAATTCCCCAGGCACCTCAGTCAAACCGAACCACCTAGACGTTTGCTGTCAAAGACAATTATCTAAGCTAAACGTGAGGGAACAGGTTACAGTTCAGTAATAGGAAGCCATTTAGTCTCATTCATGATGTAATCTGGTATGAGCTCTGTCATAACTATAAAGGGAAGGGTAACAGCTCTCTGTGTACAGAGACTCCAAATCCTTTTACCTGTAAAGGGTTAAGAAGCTCGGGTAACCTGGCTGACACCTGACCCCAAGGACCAATAAGGAGACAAGATACTTTCAAATCTTGGGAGGGGGAAAGGCTTTTGTGTGTGCTCTTTGTTTTAAGGGGTGGTTTGCTCTTGGGACTGAGAGGGACCAGACATCAATCCAGGTTCTCCCCATCTTTCTAAACAAGTCTCTCCTATTTCAAACTAGTAAGTAAAAGACAGGCAAGGCGTCTTAGATTTACTTTGTTTTCTCAACTTGTAAATGTACCTTTTTACCAGAGTGTGTATCTTTGTTTGCTGTACTTTGAACCTAAGACAGAGGGGGGTCCTCTGAGCTCTTTAAGTTTGATTACCCTGTAAAGTATTTTCCATACTGATTTTACAGAGATGATTTTTACCTTTTTCTTTAATTAAAAGCCTTCTTTTTTAAGAACCAGATTGATTTCTCCTTGTTTTAAGATCCAAGGGGGTTTGGATCTGTATTCACCAGGAGTTGGTGAAAGGAGGGTGGAAGGAAGGAGGGGGGATGGTTAATTTCTCCTTGTTTTAAGATCCAAGGGGGTTTGGATCTGTGTTCACCAGGGAATTGGTGAAAGGTTTCTCAAGGCTTCCCAGGGAGGGAATTCTTGTGATGGTGGCAGCGGACCAAAGCTAAGCTGGTAGATAAGCTTAGAAGTTTTCATGCAGGCCCCTACATTTGAACCCTAAAGTTCAAAGTGGGGATCCAGCCTTGACAAGCTCTATGACACACTCTAGTCAAAGGCACTCTTCAGTTGTGGTACTTGCCTTGTTGGAAAAATGCCTCTACCTCACATTGTATTTCGATGTATCCCCCATGTTAATTTTTCCAGTAGACGAATAAAAATAAATAAACTACCAGTGGGCTATGATATATCACAAGAAACTGAACAGAGACCAGAGCACAGTACAGATTTAAATTGTGAGTAGAAGAGATACACAGTACTACTGCTACCATAAATGAAACAGCATTTTGTGCTTGTAGGTATATTCTAAATAGAACACTGTCCAACAACTCACTCTGAACAATTGTCACTGGTAACCTTCAACTGTTCTTCAATAAGGTATCAGAACAGACTGCAGCAAGTTCTGTCTAACCCATCACTCACGGGACCAGCATAAAATGGTGGCCTAGTAGAGACTGAGGGTTAATGTTTGACCAAATACTGTACAAGAAAGCCCTGTGGGTAATTTTAAGTGGTGGCTTAAGACAAGGGGCTGCCCATTAGAAATGATGCTTAATATATTTTACATTGTGTTAGCAACTGCTAGTTATAGGTGGGGTCAGTTAGAAAGTGTGGGAGAGAAACTCTTCCCCCCTTATTAAAAAAACACAAGTTAGTTCCCAAAATACTGCTGTATGGCTAGTGTAAAATGTAGGGTCTTAGGCTCCATTCTGTTAAACTGATTTTATGCAGGTATAACTCCACTGACAGCTATGAAGTTACATAAGTTCTTTGTCAGAATAACAGAAGAATCAGGCCCCTAGCATTTTGGAGTATTACTACCGAATACTGTAGTTCCTTTTTGGCAAGAGACGTCTTAAAACTAGTTGAGAAAAGTGTGTGCATAGATGAGAAAGCTTATATGGATGGTAGCATATTTAAGGGTTAAGGAAAATTTGCAGAAGTTATTAATTTCCCTAATTGCGAGCTAACAGCTCTGTATCTGCTTCCAAATGGCAACAAGAGAGAGTGTATCATGAGTCTAGTGGTGTATAAAGAGGTAAGGGAACATGGTAGTGCAGAATGGCAAGGGGTGAACGAAATCCCTCTGTTCTCCTGCACTGAGCACTTTTCCACTGGCAAGCAGGGGAAGATACAGGAGAACCCATACTGGAAAGCCACGGCCTCTTCAGAAAATAGAAAGATCACAGTAAGAAACAAGTGGGCCAGCCAGGGCTGGGAGCACTGTAAAGCCTTGGGTGGGGAAAGATCACTTTGTATCTTGTAAGTTCTTGTAAGCTGATTCAGGAGTGGTGTTGCCGGGCTCTGAAGGGATTTCCCACCAAGTCATCCTCATTCTAAAGGCGTGGTTGCTATGACATGGGGGCTAAAAGGTGAGGGTATGATGTTGGCAGAATAAAAAACAGGGGCTCCTCGGGGCTCTGGGAATGCAGCGAGGAACCTCCCACATAAGTGGAGTAACAGAGAAAAACATAATCCATTGCCTGAGGATGCAAATGAAATAGGACTAAGGGATAGTAACTGTTCCCCTAAGTAATGGGCAACTTTTTTTATATGGCAGTCTTCTCCGGCTTAACACCATGGCTTACACTGAAGACCAGTTGAAGAGTATTTGACAAGTTTTTGGACTGTACATAAGACACAAGGAGGCACCAAGAAAACAGTTGGGACAGTTCTATTGCTTACATCTAGCATCTCTAACAAGAAGATAGGCTTCTATTAGTAAGACTATGGTAGAAATCATAATGATTGTGTTCACATTCCCTGGCATGTGGAAACAAATCACCCTGGGGAGGAAAGGGAGAACACTGACTACCCTACGCACAGCTCTAAATGGGCAGCTACAGAAAATCGGTGATTGTTCTGGTGTAACGGTTTGGCCTGTCGGGTAGTGTATGGAAGGTCTGATCCCCGCCACTCTGCATTCATGACACCAGGAGTGTCCATTCGCTGTCTTCTCTTCCATACTGAAACAAAAACAAAGAACGTATTTCAGGAAATAAAGATAACTCTGCACCAACAAAATTTTCCTGTGACCTGACTTTCGTTCACTCTAAGGCCCTTTTCCACCACTCTGGCAGGGTAAAGGGACCTGTAGGTGGGAGTAACTATAGCTTACACCTACTTCAAAGGTCCTTTCCACTGCCACAACTGCCCCCTATAAAATAGATTATTTGTTTTGCTGTTTTGCGCGCCACGGCCGCTCGGGATCTCTCCCTCCCAGGTTTGAGAGCCTGGGAGGGAGGAGGAGACCCCGAGCGGCCGCAGCGCGCGAAACAGCTGATTCACGCGCCGCTGCTCCCCCCCGCCTGGGAGTGAGGGCGAGTAGCGGCGCGCGAATCAGCTGTTTCGCACGACGTGGCGCATGAGCGGCAGCAGCAGCGGAGGTGAGCTAGGGCGGCCGGGGCACATTTTTAGGGGCGGCATTCTGGCGCCGGCCATGCCGCCCCTAAAAATGTGCTGCCCCAAGCACCAGCTTGTTTTGCTGGTGCCTAGAGCCGGCCCTGATGGTAAACCAAAAAAACCAGATCTACTGTGGATGACGAATGAGTCTGCTCTCACTGTGTAATTAACAGGGTTACAGAAGGCAGGGATGGAAAAGACCTACCATCTCTCTTCAAGACAGTCCCAGGGGAGAGGACAGTTAGCTATTACACTGACACTGCATTTGATCTTAATCTGAAGGTAAACAGTTCTAAGGCTCTCTGTCACAAACCCTGTAATCAGACACAGCTCATTCATTTAGGTAAATTATATGTGGATATAGGTTAGTAGTAGATGGGGCACTGGATCCTTCTGAGAGGGCATGGAAACTCTCTGCAACAATGGGACAAGGAACCGTTCAGAGTCTATTTGTGACTGTCTGGCCACAGAGGGTGGAAGGAAGCTACTTTTCAACTTCTAAATCAACAGTGAGGGAGACCAGGGCAGACCTGGGTGGAGAAAGGACTACAGCTATACAAATTAGCCCTGGGAAGGGCCAAGAAAAAGACTAGTCGAGCCCAGGAGGGCTGAACATTGTTTGGGGTTTGGACTTTTGTTTATCTTTGGAAGGTGAGGACTTTGGCTTTTGACTAGCGAGTCAAGTGTACCACAATGGTGAAGGTAAAGCCCTGTTACAGTGAGAGAAAACAGCGGTCAGAGTAGAGAGAGAAGAGAAATCAGTAAATGATGTGGGATTGTGGTTAAGGGGACAGGTGGAGGTAAAGTCTAATCTCAAATATTGGACATGTCAACTCAATTACTACTTATATTACAGCAGCCCTGACATCAGAGCCCTACTGTGCTAGGCGCTGTACATATACATAGTATGAGACAGTCCTTGCCATGAGGAGTCTACAATCTAAATAGACAGACAAACCAGGGAAGTAGTAACCTTGCTTTACAGGTAGGAGAGGCAGCATAGTAATGAAATAATTTGCCCAAAGTCACATGGGGAACTGTGGCAGACCCAGGAATGGAACCCAGATCTCCTGAATCCCAGTCCAGTGCCTTTGAGTCAGATTATCTCTAGACTTCACCTGTGGGTCAGACTAAGATGACAACAGAGAGCTGAGTATCATCTGCATACGGAAGGCACTGCAGCCTATATGTCTCACTGAAATGGAGTGTGGAAGCATGGAGACCATAAGAGAAAAACATTAGGGCAGAAGAGCAAATTAAAAGATGAATTCCCAAGAAGAGAAAAAGCTCTTGGCTTGTTGCTGTGTTCACTTAAAGAAACAGCATTTGGGAGTGCTGTCTTCGAAGGCTAGTGGCTGAACAGCTCTCTGTACAACACAACACCACAATGTCTTCTAACAGTCCTTGGGGATATTTCTTCTCCTTGTTGCTAATTCTGCTATCACTGTCACAGGTCTGCAGCACAGCTAACGGAATGTGTTACACCATGCTCGAAAAGCAGGGCTCCATTCATGACATTTCCAGGCCAGTTCCTTGTCCCCACCATAGATGCTTCATGCTTCCCTGGCATTGCAAAGCAGCCATAATGCCAGTTTAACCGAACAGTGCAGGATTTCCCCAGCATGGGCTAATCCCTGGGTGGCAAAGAGACAATGTAATGTAGAGGGCATGACTGGAGAAAAGGGAGTTGGCGCTAACCCTGGTAATCCTTTACTATTGGAACAGCCCCTGGGAGTCCTAGGCAGCTGGTATAAGTCACAGCAGCTGTGAGGCTCCTCTGATTCACACTAGAAATTGACCTGGCTCAAACACTGGCCAATGAGGCACTATAAAGGCTCCTGTCTTCCTTCAGGCCCCCCCAAGCTGTACTGAGCAGAGGCTGCATCAGCATTTTCCATTAAAAGAGGTGAGTTCTTGATGTTGAAGTTTACTCTGCTAATTAGGATAATTACTGCTATTAATTCACCTGTCAAGTAACTGAGTGAAACTCAAAAACCTTGGGAATTTATCTGAACCTCCAGAACCTGCAAAAATGGGCAGGAAATCTCATGAAAACAAGCTCTCTTGTGAGACTTCCAGTACCCCCTGCTTCTGTTCGTAAGAACAGCCTCACTCAGGGCAGGTCTACACTGGGGGTGGGGGGAGATCGATCTAACATACGCAACTTCAGCTACGAGAATAGCGTAGCTGAAGTCGACGTATCTTAGATCAATTTACCTCAGATCCTCACGGCGTGGGATCGACAGCCGCGGCTCCCCCGTCGACTCCGCTTCCGCCTCTCGCTCTGGTGGAGTTCCAGAGTCAACGGGAGCGCGTTCGGGGATCGATTTATCACGTCTAGACAAGACGCGATAAATCGATCCCCGATAGTCGATTACTACCCGCCGATCCGGCGGGTAGTGAAGACGTACCCTCAGACTTCAGTGTCTCACCCTGTTCAGCACCAAGAAATGCAGAGGTGCATAAAACTGAAATCACAATCCAGACTTCCATAATTTCCCCCAAAGGGTCAGTATGGATTCAGTTTTTGCCAAAGGTTTGAGTTCATTCTCATATTTTAGAAAAGAAGGATGGTTGTGCAGTTAAGACACTATTTTGGGACTAAGTAGATCAGATTCCATTTCTGGATTGGACACAGACTTCCTATGTAACCTGGGCAAGTCACTCAATCTCTCTGCTGCTCAGGTTCTGATGTGTAAAATAGAGATAACAATACTTCCTCCTCTAGCCAACCCTCTCTACCACTATTTTCTCAGGCTTGCCTATTTAGAGTGTGTAGCAGGACTGTCTCTTATTATATATTTGTACAGTGCCTAGCACAATGGGGCCCTGATACTGATCATGGCCTTTAAATTCTACTCTAATACAAATAATAATTTCACCTGAAACTGTTGACCTATCCCACCCAAATTGCTTTCTGATCTACACTTTAAAAATGAACAAGCTTTCACTGCATCCTCCTTAAAAATACAAATCATCATGAAGAAGCCATAAATAATCTACAATATTTGGGACCACTGGCCATATTAGCCAAAGCATTCAGGGCTTTTTATTTAGGGAAGAAGGAGGTTGCCAGCACTGGATTGGCATTTCAGAGGCAGTGCAATTCCCAGAGAGAACCTCATCTTTAAATCCTCTAACTCAAGCTGTTATAGAACACAGTATTCTGTGATTGATGCATTCAGAACCACACCAGTGCTATACACAGAGTAAATTATTTCATCTAAAATCTCTATCGATCTATAGTAATCACAATTTCCTTTTAGTAACACAAGTGTAAATGCATACTGCAGTGTTTCCCTGTCTCTTGCTACTGCTGTGAGAAATGTAATCAGTTCTGCCCACAAAGTTCTAATTTGTCATTCTAGCTCTACTTCCCACTGAACAGCTGTTCAAATCTAAGTAAATCCTGTTGCACATGGAGGATTGTGGATTACAAAAAAACAGTAAGTGGCAGGAAAACAGATCTGGATGCAAAATAATCAAAAAAATCTGAAAATGCTAAACTAGCATGTATTGCATACGAGGGAACTGGATGGCAGAGGTGATTAGTAATTGGATACGGAGCGATTCACCTCTAGGTTACTGGTTCAAATGCAGTGCTCGTTGCTGGAACTGAAAGTCCCTATCATCTAATCACTGGCAGTTGGCATACACAAAATGAGTTAGTAGTCTCAGTCCAGCTCCTAATATAGAGACCATTACGACAATTGGGCCTAATTCATACAGCATCTTTATGCAGAAGCACACACAAGCCCTTTACATGCTAAATACAAACATATGGGAATTGTTTCCTCTAACACTGAAATGCTCCACACCTCCATGGTGGAATGTGGAAGCTGCTTAGCAGAGCACAGCAAACAATACTGCATTCCACTGAAATTACATGGGGAGATTTTTTTTGAGGGGAATCAGAATATAAATGACCCAAGTGAAGGGAATGGGAGCTGCCTGTGATAGTTTATTAGTATCATGTGTTTCATCTGTCAGTTTGATTATTATTGTGTTGTTTGCTATATGATTATTAAGGGTTACTTTTAGCATGGGTTAGTTTGCAGGTAAACAGGAAAATGGAGAAACCCTCCTGATAGCCACCAATACTTCATGGGACAAAGCAGGTGTCATTCTCTCTGAAGTTTATCTCAGACCATGCTGGGTTCGACACCCTTGCCTTGGCAGAGGAGAGGGGAAACCAGGCAGAAAACTGAAACAAAATTTTGTAGTGGATAAAAACCTGAGTCCCTGAAGCTCCGGTGGCAGGGATGCAGAGACTGCAGGTGTGCAAACTGTCTCCCCACCCCAGCGGTGGGGCGTCTGGATAAGCTAGGCCTACCTAAGCTTTAGGTAAGACAGGCATGCATATAGGCTGTTTGTTGTGCTGAAAAACCTTTTTGCCTTGTTATGTTCCTGTTGTGATCAAACAATACTTTGTTTTGAAAAGGTGTAGAGACTACCCTGGATGGTGTCCATGAGGGAACTGGAGACAAGCCTAGAACCCACAATGGTGGATCCGTGCCACCTGAGAATTCTGTCACAGAGGGGGAATCCAGCAGGGCACAGATTCAACAACTTTCTAGCTGCTTTCTAGCTGCTTTTCAGCAGGGTGGTGAAAAGCAGCTGGGACAGAATCTATATGATAAGTATCCATGTGTGAAACCTGCAATAAATAGAACAAGAATCCAAAAGAGCTACTGAAACTACCTAAGTTGTTCGACTGTCCCTAGTCCAAGGCTGGTACACACTACTTGATTTAAAAAATGAAGGGTTAGTGGAATGCTATTCATTTTATTTTGTTTTTAACTACTCTATTGTACAACACATTGAATATCACATTGTAAATCTCAATATGTTAGCCATGGGATTCCAGGTGAGTTGATAGCAGACAACGGGCCACAATTAATGAATGACTCAATCTGACAATTTTTTTATGGCTCTATCAGTTCATGCCCACCAGGTGAGGATTTGCAGAAGAGTCAGTAAAAATTTAAAATAAAAGCCCTGATAGATTCAAGGGATCCATATTTAGTATGGATACTGCAACACATCTCACTATGTTTTATTAGGATCACCAGTTCAGCAGCTCAACGGCAGGAGGATAAAAACCTTAGTGGCAACATTTAATGTGCTTCTTGAGCCACAGACCATTAACTCTGGGGCAATTACGAAATAACTATAGCAACCCAGATCAGAAGAAATACTATGAGAAGAATGCCAAAGAGTTACTGCCATAGTAAGTGGGAGAGAATGTTAGATCTCAAACAAAGCGACTTGCAACCTGTCAAGGTAACAGCTATTCTATCCACGCTGAGGCCATATATCATTCACCACCCCCTACAAGAGAAAGAGAAGACATCTAAATAAACCAAGGAGGACACCGGTTCTCAGCTTCTTGAGGATGTCCAGAATGCTATTGACAGTCTTTGTGCACTGACCGAAGTAAAACATGCCTCTCCAGATACTGAGAGCAAATACAAGTGCCAAATAGTAGATCCATCTTAACATCCAACAAGCCACTAGAGGAGGAACTGTTTTGGGAACAAGTAGTGGCTGCATGATCAGAAAGACATTGAGCCTACAAGATAGCAGTTACTGGTGTGGCAAACCCAGGGCAAACAGCTACAAAGGGGGTAGTAATCAGTCCCAGGGGGTTAAAAAGGCCTCTCCCAAGCCACTGAGGAGAGAGAACCATGGGGAAATAAGGTTCAGCTGGGCAAGGGGTTACTAGGGAACTAATTAGGTTCAGCTGGCTCCAACTGCTTGGGACCTTTTTAAACCCTCCCTGGCGTGGAAGGGGGGGGAGGAGAGAGTGAGAGAACCAGGGAAGCTGCCAGGAAGTTAGGAGCAGCAAGGCTCTGAACCCTTCCTGCAAGGAAGGCTGCACTCTGTCCCCAGAAGGGAAGATAAACAAGCACAAGGGGCTGACTGAGAAAAGGAATAGCCAGACCCTGTGCTACCTGCAAGGATTTGCCTTGCCCAAGCCTGTGTCTCCAAGGCTAAAAAGGACTGAGCCTGCTGAGGAGAAGAAGGTACTTTGCCACACTGGCCAATATCAAATACCACGCCCACCATCCAAGACATCGCTTTGTGGGGTTTTTTTAATTGATTGTCTGCACTATTTTGTGGAAGTTGATATTAGGTTTTACCTGACTGTGTATTTTTTTAAAGGGAAGATGAAACAGCTGCCACTGGAGTTTGTGGATAATGACCGGGTATAACTTTTTATAATCCTGGCCCATGTCATGTGACGAGGACATAAACATCAGTCTTTTACAAGCACTCCTGTATTTCACACCTGTATTAAAATCACTCTGTTTCAAGATGAAAGAGGGAGGGCAGGTTTTAAGGAGTAAAACAGCATCCCTCAGTGACATGTAGGGTAAATATCTTCCTGCACCATCCCTTACCACTGATAATCTACCAAGGTTTCAATGCCAGGAGAGGTGGGAGAAAGAGTCTATATTTTGATTCCTGGAGCCTGTAACAGAAAAACCATTCATTCATTCTATTTTACCCCTTTCATTATGTTATCATACCAAAGAAGAGAATCCCTTACTTGGATATCAGTCAGCTGATTCAAGAAGCGGGTTGCTAACTGAGGTCCATTCTCCATAGTTGGAATGTGCAAATTCTAGGATGGAATTAAAATGAGAATAAGTCCTAGAAGCTCATCATGTACAGTCAGATAACAAAAGCAACAACAAGTACATACATATATAAATGCCTTTTAAATCTGAGGATCTCAAAGCACTTCACAAACATTAATTAAACCTCACAACACTCCCATCAGGTGGGTAAGGATCATTAATATCCATTTTATAGGAGACACAGAAAGCTCAAGGATCAGCTGACATTCACGTCAACTGTACTACTTCTATTGACTGTAATGAGAGTTGGTTTAGGCCCTCCTCAGTGACTTGGCCAAAGGAGTGGCAGTAGAGCCAGGAATAGAACCCAGCTGCTACCGGAGTCCAAGCAAGGTCTAATCACTACACCACACTTACCTTCTTGCTCAATCAGTAAGGCTTGAGGAGGATGATAGTCAACTCAAAGAAGCACCTTTCTATTTACTATCTACACTGTGTATTGTGTTAAAACAAGTACATTTACCATAATTTTCAATAGTCAACATCTTAATGTTTCCCATTCGTATCTCAAAAGCATGATCATATTAATAGATATAGTCCTTCTATTAGAAGCATCATTTTCTACATAGTTATTTTATTTGTTCTATTGTCTATCTTCACAAAGAAACATATCAACATACCTCTTGGGCTGGATTCACTGGTCTGCGAAGTTCATTTTGTGCAACGTAAGCAGTGCAAAGTGAACTTAAACAGGACAGAGAAATGCTCTACAGAATTCCCCCTGTTCAGGGGGAATTTCCCAACTGGTGTACAGCAGACAGAAACAGTTATGCCATCTCCTGTACCAGCTCTGCCATCTGTGTCCTCTCCAACAGAGCTGTGCTGCCTGGTATAAGGGGAAGGATTAAGTCAGGCATGGGATGGGGTTAGGAAGGAGACATATTAGGGCAGGGGCATCTAAGTGCCCGTGTACTGGCTGGCAGAAGAGCATCCGCCGAAATGCCACCGACAAGCAGTGTCATCCAGAGGCATCGCCACTGAAATGTCGCCGAAATCGGCGGCATTTCGGTGGCGACGCCTCTGGATGATGCTGCTTGTCGGCGGCGCCGCCTATTGACGTTGCCGCTTGTCAGCGGCATTTCGGCGGATGCTCATCTGCCACCACGGTCCTCCGTGGCTCGTCGTCTGGTGCCCACCAGACGAAAAAGGTTGGGGACCACTGTATTAGGGGATGGAAGGGGAGTGGTCATGGTGGAGCAAAGCCATGTTCTCTGTATGACCCGTTTCTGCTGATGGAAGAATTTAAATCTCCTCCTCTGCAATTTTAATTTATGCCAGGGAAGGGCAGAACAGAATTGAGGAACTGTGACTGGCTGTCAGCCTCCCTATTAAGGGAAGATTTGACTGCAAATCACATCACAGAGCTGGCTGAAATGCTTCTAATTGCAAAATGTTGATGAAATTTCAAATTTTGATTTTTTTTGTATGAATGATTTTTTTTTTACTTAAATTTAAAATAAATCTGCCCCCCACTTTTCAACGAACTATAGAGCTGGTAAAAAAAATGAAGTTCTGAAATTTCAGATTAAACGCAAAAAAGAGGATGGGGGAATTTTGAAAAAAAAAATCAGTTTTCCCCAACTTGAGAAGAAGTTGGGAAGAAGTTAGGAGGCAATATACTGATAAGGTACTTCCCACATGAACCTCAGACAACGCCAAGCTGTAATTATATGGGGAAGAAAAAACAAACACAAATACTTTCCTTACCTTGTCTTTGTATAATATTTTAGAAATAGGACATACGACACAAGCTGTCCCAGCACCAAACATCTCCTTCACTCTGTTTTCCTCCAAGGCAGCTGTCAGATCACTCATGGTGATGTACCGCTCAGACACTTTAAATTCTCCCTGCGCCAGAGATCAGAAACACAAAACCAGAGCACATGTTCTTAAAGGTCGTAATTCTTTCCTTACATTAGACACCTGTAATTGTATCACAGAGGTGATATTTTTAACAAACCCAGTTGTAGCCAGTTAATTTTCAGTTCTCATACAGCTAAGCAAGCGATGGCCTAGTCAGTAGTTAAATGAATGACCTCCAAGGAAAACCCAAGATCTAGAACGTGTGATGATGGCAATTCACTAGGTGGCACTTTCCCCTCAAATTTGGTGCTGAACCTCAGCATGGTGTTCAGGAACTCCGTGCAGCTGCAGCAGAACTTTTGGATGGGATGTAAACAGAGGACCTCTATGCTTTTGATCATTGCTGAGCTTATAGTACTTTGTGCATGAGAACTTGTATTCAAGTACAGATTTGAAAACTGCAAGAATACAGGCATTACATCTACGGCTGGACTTAAGGCTGCACCCTGGTTGCTCAGAATGAAGGTAGAGACACATGGGCTATGGGTGGTGGAACAAGGACCTGATGAGTAGAGTGTAGATGGGGTGATGAATGACAGTTGCTTATTTCCTTACTTTAAGCTAATTGTATTAATGGGATGTGGAGTCTGGCAACTCTAACACAAAATTAATGAAGATTTTTGTGTGGGAATACTTATTGGGAACTAGTTAGACTGTATGTGGCTCTGTGGAACGAATGCTGGTGTCTGGGTGGTTTGGCCAAGACTTTTTAATTTTAACATGCTTCCCCAGTTCGTATTTGGTTTAAAGGATCAGGTGGAACTGTGAGCCATTACCTGAACACAATAAATGAGTTATTTTCATAACAGCGTATCTCACCGTTGTTAAAATTGCTACTATTGAGGGACAAGGCAAACACCCACCCACTTGCGTGCCAGATCCAAGATGCTCTGCCTCGTCACTCCAGGAAGAATGATGCCATCTAACGGTGGGGTTGCCAGTTCCTCTTCTGTTGAAACAAAAATGCAAACAAAATAAAATATTTAAATGAGAGCAGAAATATCAGATACCATCATGCAATATCCGATATCATAAGATACAAACATTGGTTAGAATTTCAGAGGGAGTTTCTAAATTGCACAAACTCAGTTGGATGCCACCTGTTTTGAATCTATGCATATATCTGAGGGTAGGTCTACACTACAGCCTAAATCGATACAATTTACATAGCTTAGGGGTGTGAAAAAGCCCCCCTGAGTGATGCAAGTTTCGTGCTGTCCACACCAGCGCTATGTTGGCAGGAGTTGCTCTCCCGCCAACAGAGCTTCCACTTCTCGCCGAGGTGGAGTAATTATGCCGACAGGAGAGTGCTCTCCCATTGGCACAGAGTGTCTTCACTAGACATGCTACAGTAGTGCAGCTGGGCTGCAGTGTAGACTTGCCTTGATTGAATTGGGATTAGGTGTATTTAGTAGTTAGAGCACATGACTGGGTTCTATTCCTGGCTCTGCCACTGGCTCAGCCACTGGCTCACTGTGTGATCCCGGGGAACCATTTAACTGCCCATCCGCGACATAAGGAGACACAAGTGGAAGCTGAAAGTGACCCACTCTGTGCCTAGTAGACTTGTCTATAAAATGGATTTGCTACCATTGGTTATCTCACTGGGGTGCTGTGAGATGCAGTTAATAAACATTTGTAAGGTGTCTGGAGGATGATGTATCATATAAATGAAGTTCAAAGTTAAGTACATACTTCCGAGCTCTGCTCAATGGGGCCTTCAAGTGAGATGGATTTGATAACCTAACAGGTTTTCTGTCCCTGACATCTCTGATGATGATATGATGCTATTTACATTTACTTTTCCCATTTATAATAATACATTTCTCTGTATCCATGGAGCAGCTACAAGAGAGACAGCAGTGGAAATTTTCTCTTGCTGTCCCCTAACGTGTGTCTATCCTGAGCTGGTGGGACAATGTCAAGATTGAGAAGGTAGGTCACACTTCATGCCCATTCAGTCCTTGACCTTTCTACTGTGATTGCCAGCATGGGTTCCAATTAGTGACACTTACAATATTTTTTGTTATGTGGAAATCTGATTGAAAACTGGAGTTTGATCCAACTCATTTTACATAGGTTGCCATACAGCCATCGCATGGTAACAGCTTTCAGGCTTCAAAAATCTGGCTGGGATTCGAAATGACAACCTAGAGGCGAAAGACTAAACCCTTCAGTGTCATGAACTGTGTCCGTGGTCCTCAGGCATGTGAGGCATTTTATGGAAGAGGACTCCTCGTGTACAGTGTGCCCTTTTGACATGGAATCCCAGCCATGGTAGGCTCCAGAAACCCTTCTTTCACTATTTTATCTTAGAGGTTGAAAGTTATTTAACCTCTCCGAGATAATCTGCAGGAAATTCCAAAACAGCCAAAGATTCAAATGGTTTAACTGAAAACAAGATTTTGGGGAGGGGGTTGTTTAAACAGAGGGAAAAAATCAGATTTAAATAAATATGTGCTTGACATATCTAATCTCATACTTGGCAAAAAAGAACATAGGTAGATTATCTTGGATTAGGTGCAGTAAAGAAACAAAGTATTACATTTCTAGAGAGTGCAATCTCCTTTTTTCCCCTCTGACTCGTTCAGCTAGTTAGCATATCAACAACACAGCTTCTGGCAAAGATTACCAAAAGCGACAAATGATTTTGGGAGCCCAACCTACAACATCTGGGGGCTTGATTTTCATATAGTGCTCTAGCCCCTGCCCTTTGAAAAACCAGGCCCTTTACTTTATAGAGACTCAGAGTTGGGCATCCAACAATGGAGGTGGCACCCAAAAGCACTTGTCACTTCTGAAAATCTTGGCCCCTGCTTTTCAGTAGCTTTCTTCACTCTTTTTCTACTTTTAAACATCTTGTTCCTCCCAGTTACAGTCCTTCATCCCTTCTGATCTTAAATGGTGTGAGCCTGCTCACCGTATCTGGCAGTCCCCAAGGTATTTACATGGATGTCCTCTCATGGCAGGTTATCATCATCTCTTATGCAATGTCCATTGTATGCTTTGCTGCCTCAGTCCATTCAGGGCTGTATTTCTTACTGTGGATCAAGAGCTTTGGTTCCTGTTTTTCCTACATAACTTGAGATGTTCCTTTGAAAGTGGGCACACACAATAGATTCAAATTGTCATGACAAACTATTCAAGTGCTGCCAAAATGTAAGGAGAAGACATCTCTTAGGTACCTATCAGAGGTAGGTACAATCCACCCAGGATATGGCTACACACTGTGGGTATGTCCACAGTTCGAGCTGGAAGAGTAATTTCCAGCTTTGGCAGACAAACATGCACTAACTTTAATAGAACTAGTGCACTAAAAATAGAAGTGTAGCCACGGCTGCGCGAATAGCGGGACAGGCCAGCTGCCCAAGTTTGATCCTCCTCCAGGACTCTATGCACTTACTTGGGCAACTAACCCATCCCGCTGCCTGTGCCACCACAGCTACACTTCTGTTCTCCAGCTCCAGTGTCTATGTACCCAGCAGTGTCCATTTATTAGCAGTGGCCATTCCTGATTCAGTGGCAGACTGCTAGATGCCAAGATGCCATCTCTTTCCTTTCTCCCAGGGTTGGAAACTCTAGCTCTCCTTTTTCCTATGAATCCACCCTAACAACCAAATAAACTCTCCCATGCCTATCTCCAAGGGCTGTCTGCTCTTTGCCTGGGCCCAGCCAACAACTGAAAGTGACTAAGTAGAAATATCTATTATGGGCAAGTTATTCCATAATTGTCCACCTCTGAAACATTTGGTTACTGGCCATTGTCAGACAGGATTCTGGATTAAATAATCCACTGGTCTGATCTGGTCTGGAAATTCCCATGTTGGGCGTTTGCTACTTCACCAACTTTGGAATCATCAAATTTGATCATGTCTGAATGTACATACTCCTACTAGTGAAAATAAGAAATAATATGGGCCTCAATATTGAACCCTGTGACACACTTGATACTGTTCCCTCTTCAGAGGCTTTACCATGAATGGTGGAGCGGGATGTGTATAAGATCCAAAATATACTTTGATTGCTGAGAGCTATTTTGAAAGCTTGCCAGGCCAGCTGCCAAACAGCATGGAGTTGATAGAATATGGGAAATATGCAAAATGTTTTAAACTGCCAGCTTTATATAATTTTGTCAAGTATGCATATTATGTCTACCAGCCTGGGGTCACCTAGAGGAGCATCTGCCTCCCTTGCAGCATGTCATCATCTCCGTCTGGTACCATGTGTACACCAAAACTGGCTCCATATGCATTCAGCTTGCCCATCTCTGGGAAATCAGACTATGAGCTCACAAACCCCATTTGTCTTTTCATGGGAGAGTCATTTTGATAAGCTGCAAACTCCTGGATTTACAATAGCACATAGGAAAAACAGCCCTGTGTGGGAAAACTTCCTATTCGTCTGCTTTTATTGATTTTTATATATATTTATTTGTACTGAGGTAACTTTCCAGAGTCCCCATGATTTAGGGAGACAATTGCTTTAGCTTAGTTGACGAACATCACATAAAGACCATGGTTTTGCTCCCAGCACTTTTCCCGAAGCTGACAGGCTGGGAAGATTATATCTACAGTGCCCTGTCCAGGCTCGGGGATGATGTTTCCCACAAGATAGGTGTTAAGTCAATTCAGTATGACCAGTGCAATAATTTCCCCTGCAACAGAGAGAAGGGAAATGCCATAGTAATTATCACAGTTTGCCCATTCACCCTTACGTTTATAGAGGTGTACAATGTTGGCACCCTTGAAATTCTGTGGCGCTGTCTCTTGCTCGATTTTTTGTTCATCTTTGGAAAGTTTATTTTTGCTATTCCATCCTTCCATGAAGGTATGATGACCAGAGTGGTGGGAAATGGCGAGATATCAGACCCCTTTCTGGTCACCAGAGGCACCAAACACAGTTGTGTGCTGGCTTCCACAGTCTTTTCCATCCTTTTATTGGCTATGCTCATGGATGCATTTCATGACACTGACAGAGGAGCATTTACCCAGTTCTGCAGTGTTATAAGCTGTTCAAATTTGCAACGCTTCCGTTCTTGCATGAAAGTGGCAGATTTACACATTAAGGAGCTTTTGTTTGCTGATGACTGTGCACTGGTTGCACACTCGATTGATGACATTCAATAACTAACTGATCACTTTACTTGTACAGTGAATCACTTTGGTTTCACAATCAATCTAAAGAAAACTGAAGTACTGTACCAACATGTGCCAGGGGATGAACTTGTCTACCCAATTATTAAGATCAAGGATGACCTTCTCGAGTCCATGGAGAAGTTCTGCTACCTAAGGAGTATGCTATCACAGAATGCCGCAACTGATGATGAGCTTACCCATCGCTTAGCCAGGGCCAGCTCTGCATTTGGAATGCTGTCACACCACTTATGGAATGACAAGGACGTCAAAATAAGCAGTAAGCTAAACGTCTATTAGGCAGTCATGCTGGATAACATATTGTCGCCATATTAGGAAACTCAATCAGTTTCATATGCACAACCTTTGGTCTGTTTGCAGGGTCAATTGTTGAGACAAGATTCCCAATATCGAAATACTCAATCATTGTCAGAGGTCTGACATTCAAAGCATGCTCAAAAAACAAACAAACTCAGCTATGCATTGGTCTTGGCATCTCGTTCATATGGCAGACTCAAGAATACCCAAGGCCCTATTTCTGGTCAGCTACAGCAAGGCACCTGCTCTCATGGTAGCCAGTACAAACAATATAGACACACTGAAGTCATGCATGAAAGCATATCAGCCAATCCCAGTCAATGGGAAACAACACCCCACAACAGAGCAAGGTGGCAGCAGATTTGTCATATTGCAGTTAACTGCTTTGAAGCAAGGTGCATCAGCAACACCTGAGGTGAAAAACATGAACAGCGCAAAGCAAGGCTACAACAGCCTGCAATGGTCATGGACAATCTTGTCTGTCCCCCATGTAACCATG